AGTCCGCTTATGAGTTGCTTGGAGATTCCGGGAAACCAGGAATTCTTCCTGAGAGATTTCTCGACTTTCTTCGATACCAATATTTACTCTAACATCACGAGTCTGAAGAAAAAAGCTTTCGCTCATTCGTTCTTTCTAGATGTGCTTCAGGTTCTTTCAATCCAAACCTATTATAAATCACGATGGAACTTGGGATACACCTTACTTCTCACAATTGTTTGGGAGAGGAGGGTCGACAGTCTGTGGACAAGTACGCGTTTTTGGCAAGTCTGCCTAATTCGCAGACTCTGAAGGGATGGAAGATCTCAATGGATAAAGCCGCAGCCGATTTGAGATTCGACTTCCAGACCATCCGTGAAGTAAATGACACCATTTACAACTGGTCTACCTCCGCTCCACTCGGGTTTATCGAAATCGACAGTTACCTGCAAAACTAAATCTTTGCTAGGTATTGAAGACAAACTGTACACTCACCGACCGGACCGTGCCATGTGCGAGACTAATAAGTCCGCAACTGCAGAAGTCAGCCACTTCCTCCGCTGAAAAGTGCACGGGAATGGGGTGTAGGGTAGAGCTAGCCGGAAGCCGTCCCCGTACTGCGCCCGCGCTATGCTTTAGGTACAGCACTTGCGTGGATACCGAAGTCCAGCGGCGATGGTCAAATAGAGAACAACCACGGGAGCGCAGGTGGCGTATGGAAAGGCGGCATCCAGTATCGCTTCCCTCCCACCCCTTTCCTGTGCACTTTTGACCCGAGAAAGTGACATGCTGTAGCGGACCCATTCTTTCCGCGCACAGCAAGGACCAGGATCCAGAGAGGCGAGTGAACAGTTTGTCTTCTAATTGCTTCGATTCGGATTCTCCTGCCGGCTGCGATTTCCACATTTCGAAAATAGAATGGATCTATGGCTTGAAAACAGACAGTCTGACAGTTTCCTTGATATTCATCACGCACTGGTGCTGCTCTTCAAAACCGGAAAGAGATTCGAATACTTATTCGGAATCGCAGGTGTGGAGGCTTACCCCAGAGTCGTGCTATCGCAAGACGAGTTGACTTGAAGATAGAGTCGACGCGCAGCACCGCTGCCGTTGTTGAGTGGCACTATGCCCAATCGTGCTCTTTGTGCAGCTGCTGTTCCCATTGCTTGCTTCACTGCTCTTCCTGATTCAGCACCAATCCCTACTGAAGAAATGTTTGATTAGATCAAACAAACTAGAAACCCCAGAAGCACTCAGAAAGTGCAAGCAGTCATGCCTACCTTTTCCTCCAATGCTCATTTGTGCTAAACAGTTCTTGGCCGAAGCAGTTGTGACGCTTCCATTCTCAGGCTGGAGAGCTGTTGCGGTACCAGGTGAACTGCATGGATTGTGGACGGAATTCGAGAAGTACGGTAGCAAGAAAAGTTTCCTGGAGCGATCTCATTCAGCCAACAATCGAACTGCTCGAAGAAGGTGGGTTCTTCGCCTAAACGAAGCACTTCTTCGTTATCACTTCATTCTCAGGATTTCCAACATCGCACGCTTTGGCAAAAGCGTTGGAGCGAAGAGCTGAGCTGATCGTGAAAGAGTCAACAATGCGCGAGTTCGTGAATCCAGAGACCGGAAACGTCTACCGCGTTGGCGACCAGATAAGAACCAGGTGATCATGAAATGTTCTACACAGCACAGCCTGAATTCAGGTAAATATTTCTCCAACCGAAATCATGGTATAACGATTCCACAAGAAAATTACTTAGGTTACTTAGGCGACCCGTTCTTCAGCACGGCGGTTGACCTTGCGCGGGTCCCAACTTCTTTTCCATTGATCTCTGTTTTGAGCCTTGCTTGTCCAGTGCGTACAGACCTTAAGGAGGAAATTTGATTCATAAACATTGTGCGGATAGGCCAGGGAATCGGCCCAGCGCAGAGGAGGGCGACCCGGCGGTCGCTTCTTGTCACGCGGGTACCATCGTGTGGTCGCGGAACTCCATCTTCCGTCATTTCTCCTCATCACGTGACCGGCAAATCGATGCTTTGCTTCGTCAACATGGAGTACAATGTCTTTGAT